GGTATAGTCGGCGCAGTAGTTTTTGGCCGGTGGAATTTTCAAGGGGGAGGCTAGGAGCGAGTCATTTGTGCGATAGTAGAATGCTGACTGCACCGAGGAGCTTATCGGACTGAACGCCCAAACAAAAGAAATACACTGACCGTGCCACCTCCGGTACACAGAGTAAGCCCGTCCGCCAGCTCCACTAGCTTCTTCACCGGCCAAAAACTACTGTGCTGACTATATATACTGCAAAAGACCACTTCAATTTACATACAACAGAAACAAACATCTTAATGAACAAAACTTGAATAACTTCCTTTGTGCAAAACCATTTTTGAATCTTCATCAAACCATTTAAATGGTTAATGCCAAAGGGTAAGTTTGTTAGCTTTATTCAACAGCTACAGTTCTTCAAGGTTTGCAGGTTTTTACATTGATCAAATGAAATCTGCTTGCTCTAAAATCCTTCTACTATTGACATTAATGAGGTCTCTACGCAGATGCAAATGGAGGTGAATGAATTATGAGGTGGTGACCATTTAGAAGATGCATTTTCCTTAGTAAATATACTGCAACTTTATTAAAATACATTTACTCACATTATGAAAAGAAAGTTTTGTCTTCATCAAAGTTTTAAATACTGCTGCCATCCTGGAAATAAAATTGTTCAGAGGTTACATATGTTGTCACACAAGCTGTACAACTATACAGGATGTAGGAGCTTGGGGGAGAGGTAGTATACCCTCTACTCAACTCAACTGCAGCATCAAGCCCCGGCCACACTTTACCCCCAGGAAAGAACCCTGGGACCCACTAGATAGGAGACTGGGGGGCAGAGAGCCGGTCTGGACACAGAGGCTAGAGGAAAAATACTCTGCTCCTGATTGGGACTGAACCCCAGTCCATAGTCAGTCACTAGACTGACTAAGCTACCCCAGTTCCTCTCCTTACACCAAAAATAAAATGAAACTCACATACCCAACATGAAGTCATGATCAGGACAAGTTAAAGCTGGCATTTTGCAAAAACATAATTGTATACAGTCAACAAGCTCACCAACTTTCACTGAAATCTGAGGCTTCTTTTGGATTCGAAATGGGCACCCACTCAGAGTTTAATAGTACATTAAAATTCACAGAATTTTATGTTACTAAAACGAAGAACTGTATCTTTTTATACTTTATTATCTCATTTTGTGTATTCGTCTTACAATACTGAAAGAGGAAACACGTGTGGACACATTACAGGAGCAATTATAATAATACGGAATGAAACATACCTGTCTTTGTAAAATATTTTCGTTCTGCTCTATGTAATTTGTGCAGACTCATAAAAACTACATACATTAATCAGTAAACATCCCAACCCATTAGCGAAAACCAGAGTTTACCTATTATATTACAACTCACAACGCAAAAAAGCAGTCCCTGAAATTCCCATCCAACAACACATAATACCAACATACAGATTATATTATCTTCCCTGGAAGCGCGCGCGATACAACACATAGAACGCACTTATGGGTAGATTTAACCTCAATCATGAAGAAATATTCCGTGTCAGACAGGAAATCTGGAACTTCAGGGCCCATTGCATCTAATAAACTTCTGCTTACCATGGAAGGCCTTTTTAGAAAGCGAAAAGTAATTCTTACTGATCGTCATTGCTTCGGCCGGCTGCACACCAACGTAGGCACACACTAGAGCATTGAAAACTCGCACGACACGGAATCAGCAAACACATCCATCATTTCCAATGGCTAGCGAAATAATGAGAGGCTGGAAAAAAAGAGTGATCCTTTCTCACAATAGTGGCGTGCAATGCGAGTATACGGCCTCTCTATGGTCAAGACCATCCGTGAGTGATGAAGAGTCCCACACTACAAGTCTTCGCCCTACTAAACTTCATCGCAGAACATGGGAGATCGAGAGGAATAAACATCGACACCACCAGGCGAAGAAATACCAGTGGACAGAATATCACCCCACATACTCTTTGGATAGCGTTGGGGGGAGTCGAGAAGAGATAATAATTCAAATAAAAAAATTAAAAAAACTTAGTGATGACATAAATATGACGTTTGGGTAAGAAAAACGTGCCAACAATTCTCTAAAAAGTGACATAGTTTTCGAAAGTGGCACACAGGAGACACACTGGAAAATGAAATTAAAGATTACTGTATTATGGGTTGTTGCGCCATGTAGTCTGGTAGATGTCCACCGTTACAGAGGTCATGCTGCCAGTCACCACCCTCATGACCCAAAGACAGTAATTTTCAGACTTACCACCATGAAAACCTTAAATCCTACAAAATTAAAGAAATTGAACCATTGGAGGCATATAAGTATTTGAGTGTGGAAGGGAGCCATATAATAGAACAAAAACGAGGAAGAAAAATTGAATGAGTATGTAAGGAGGCTGAGGATGATTTTGAACACTGAGCTGTGTGCAAAATATAAACAGTTTCATCACTGGCAGTAACAGTGCTAAGATATGATTTCAGAATTATTAACTGGCACCAAGAAGAAATATAAAAAATAGAAAAACAATCCAAATACTAATCATTCATAGACAGCATCACCCATCAGCATACATTCATCGCTTATGTGTGACCAGAAAAGAGGGAGGAAGAGAACTGATGTAGGTGAAGCAGCCTACAAAGCAGAAATTATTACATTGGCAAAATATGTAGAAAATAAAGAATATCCACTGCTACAAACTGTAAGGTCACACCTACATAACACAGATGCAGCATTGCTACAAACAGTTAACAAATTTAAGAAATCCTTTAAAAGTGAAACAAAGCAAATAAAAAGACATAACAGTTCAGAATATAAAAAGCAAATGGTAAGAAATAAGGATGCATGGTCAGTCTCCACATTAGAGGAAAAACTGGTGGATAAGGAACAGCCATACCAATGGCTGAAGTTTGGAGACAGTGAGGGAGAACAGAAAGTAAATCTGTGGCAGCTCAGGATAAGGCAAACAGAAATTAATATATGTCATCTGATATATGAGAAAGTCATCTTTGTGAAGGTAGTGGCTGTTAAAATACAGATTACATCAGTCATCTGAGCATCACATTTAATTAATTTTAACATTGAACAACCCTGTTCCTTTTCATAACTTTGAAATATATGACAGACTCATGGTGTTAGTGTTATAAGGAATGCAATGAAATGTAAATTACAGTGAATATTAAATGGCCACCAATGAGAAACAGATTACCACTGGAATATTGTATTTGAAAGTTACCAATAGGCACATTCAATACAAAATACTGTATTAAAATGTATATAAAATTTCAGATTTTCTTTCACTTTTCAATTCTGAAAGCATAAAACCATACAAATTCATTTAAATATCTTCAGAATGGATTACAGAACTTATTTTCTAAACCTAATATTTGTTGCATGATATTGATTATAAATTGTAGTCACCACTTGAAAATGTAACATATACAAACATTAACACAAATTAAAGTGGTATTTAAATCCAGAGACTTACACTGGACTGAGGAGAGATGCTTAACTGACTAGTTAGTTTATCTGGAGGCATGTTTCCTGCTTAGAGAAACAGTAACTAAAATAACAGAACAGAAATGCACATAGTGAAAAATCGTAACTGAGTGTATAATTACAGATACACTTCACTCATAATGTTTATGCACAGAAATAAATGTAGCTTAATTTATCAAAACAACCTAAGAATCGGTCAGCTTTTCTTATATGAAATTCTTACAGAAGTCTTGACATCACTTCTCAAAAGTAAATTGGTTCAATAAATTTTTCTGCTAGAAAAGTGCAATGATTCATAGGTGGCTGCATAGTTCACCTTCTTTCGGTATCCAAACTGTTTGTTTCATCAGAATCCTCACGATCTTCTGTCTGTTCAGCCCTGATAACTGTCTGTTTCATCAGTATTATTCACGATTCATATTATCTCTGAAATTCCTATTTCCACTCTCAAGAAAGAAGGAATTTAGCTAATGGAAAGAAATGGTTAAGAGAGAGTCAGTTCAGGAAGAGTCCAATGTATGCATAATTTATATTTCAGAAATGTTTAAATGCTTTGTAAATAACTTAACTATAACTCATGCCATCAGCCACTATGAAATGTTCTGTTTATAATCTATATCTCTTTATAAATCTTCCACATCATCTTCTGAGTCATCATAATGCATGTCACCATCATCCCTTGTCAGTTGAAATGCCCCATCTTCAGTGAAATCCTAGGGAATAAAAGAGAAAATGTAAGAATATTTTTTCTTTTAACTCTTCCCTAATGTAAAACAGACATATCTATCAGTGATCAGTAACACATATACAGGCACAGAATATATCCATAGCCTGAGAAATATTTTAATGAACAAATTTTTCTGCCACAGAAGATGACAATGTTCAGTATCAACTTATCTTCTAGGTTTAATTATTCATCTGTGTTACAAATTCTTTGCAGTTCATGCAGAATTGCCTGTGATGTCAGAAGCATCCATTGGATCTGTGTATTATGCAAGTTTTTAAATACTTCTGTAGTAATTCATCATATTATGAAGACATTCTTAAAACAATGTTCACATTTTAAAATTAAATAAAATATGTTTGAAGGTTATGTGTGTGATTCCACATTATTTTTTCTCTGAATGTTCAATGTCCTTGCTCATAACCTTGGAATATTGATAATTTCTTGTGCTATATCTCAGATAAAACTGAGCCACTGAACTTAACAATGTCATAACATTACTGACACACAACTCATAAATATGTGAATATTCACATAACTCATAAATAACTAACTACTAAAATATATTACCCAGACTTACATAGTCAATTGTGACTGGAGATGGATATTCACATGGAAAGCACTCCATGTAACTCATTCCGTTGTTATCGGCCGTACACTCACAAGTCTGACAAGACGAGGGCCGAGCAGACTGGGCGACTCTCTTTGCAAACACAGTTGCAAACTTCTTCACAACATTTTTCTTGTCTGACTCAAGTTTTCTTGCTGTGAAGACAGTACCTGAAAAATAAAAGAACAGTGATACTGTTAAAAAGTCTGTAACCTAATAATGGAAAAGTGGCACATAACAATAACTTGTAAAACCCCCAAAACAAAATGAAAATGTAAAATAAAGAATTCTCTAGAAGGAATCGTTCCCAAGATATGGTAAGAAGGAACTGTTAAATTGGGCAAGAGTCATAAATAACAAAGGAATTTGTCATGATAGTGGGAGACAGAGGCAGTCACACAGAGGATTGAATAACTACAACATAACTATAGGTGACACTCACAAACAAGTGAGTTAATAAAAAAGAATAGCGTAATAAGACGAATGCAGTTCACACATGTCAGCACAAACACTGAAGAAGTGTACAATGCTTGCTGATACAGAACACACCAGGTACATAACTAAGAGGAAGGCAGTTACAATTAAGTGTTCAAAGTGTCCACTATGCAGTCGCTGACAACTGCACATCATGGAATACTATCTTGCACATGTTTTAACATGTCAGAATCAATGGTTGCCACAGCAGCATGAAACTCTGCTGTCAGGTCTTCCATGTCAGTGAGCGGATCCCTGTAAACAATTTCTTTTATGTATCCCCTAAAGACGAAGTCCAGAGGAATACAATGTCATGTAAAAACTGATTTTAGTATTTTATTTACATATATCTACGTTTTCTTTGTAATTTCTCAAGAATCACAAAATTGTGATGATGGCACTGATTTGTGCATCACATTCAGCAGAAGTTATTTATTTTGTGCTATATGACCAAAAAACAGGCAAACCACAAAGTACTGCTCATAACCAGACGTGTTCTATTGAAACCTGCTTTTGCATCAGATTTTTAAAGCGTGTCCTGTTCTTCTTAAATATGAAATGCATTTAGTAAGGAGATATTTCTTACTGAAGGAAGAATCAAACATAACACTACAAAGTTCCAAAATTCATTTTGTAATCTCCTCTAGTTGTCACAAGAAGTGAATACTTAAAACTGACTGAGCCCAGCTGATATAATGATACTGTATCAAGTTCAGAAATTAGGAATATCAACAGTGAATTGCAAAGTGCTTATGGCCAAATTCAATGTAACTTACCTGGCCTATAAAACTTGACAAGAAAACATGAAAATTTCAATGAAGATTCCAAGCTCCCAAGTCAACATTTTATATGCAGACCCATCAAGTATAATTCATACACTGGCACTAATAACCTGTATGCATATATGCATGGATGCATGCAGCTGGAAGTTTCAGATTCAAAGAGATTTATGTTTCTAAACAAATGTTATTGCTGCATTACTTTCTGGTGGATTAATTCTTGACAGACTCTTATTTACCATTTGTTTCCAGTGCGAGTGGTGTGCAGTATCCCAATGCAACTTTGGGAAGTTTAACTTGTCTTCGGAGTTCAGTGGATCCCACCACTGTTTTCATTTTCACATGCTTCTTTGTATATGCAGTTAACCCATCCATACCTAAAATGAAGAACATGGAAAAGAGAGATACAGAAATAAGTTTTCAAGTATGGTTTAAATGGTACAGTTTCATCATCAATGAAGGTCATCTTAATTCATTTTGTGAAACAATGTAATTTTATTGAAATACAGACAATGGACAAAGTCCAAAATAACACTTCCACAGATTATAATTCACAAACATCATAAAACTTCAGACTTCATCATGCCTTAATAGCATATAACAAGGTGCATTACCCTAGGCTGAAGCTAAATCTCTACTTCATGCTGTGGTCATACATCCCACCAGCTCTACTGTCTTCATTTGTCCAGGACCCATCTGTATACCAGATAATCCCTCCTCTTCTCACAAGTGAAGAGGAGGGAGCCCCAGGAAGACCTCAACTGCAGCTGTAGGAACCATTCTCATTGCACCTGACTAGTCTTACATTTCACCCTGAACCACAGACCATGGCTCTGACCACCACGGTACAACCACTGTATTACCCTTGGTTTCAGTCCCCATGTCTTCCCGACAGTGCCTCTGCAGGTCCAGCTGTGTACCCCATGTCAGTCAGAGGTAGCCGACTTCTGTGGACGGCTCTATGGCTTTACCAAAGACAGTCACTTCCTTTACACCCTTCAAAGCAATTTTTTTGGTAAAAGGTATATTACCATTTTCCTTTGGTTGATGGACAAACTTGTCCTATCACACCATAACTCTATCAGTCTACTTCTGAGATTGTTGATTAGGACTATGATATTGTCTGCATATAATACTGCATGACAGCCTCCTTCACGGACCTCCCCAAGAAGCCCATCCACATTATAGGTGGCAGACATGGGATTTAAATCCATGTACTATGGGGCTGCTAGCAAAATTTTAACTCCAGGGTCAACAGTTTAGTAGTATTATTAGCTAACAGACTGCATGTTAGCCATGACGCAATGATGATAAAGGTTAAAGCAGTGTGGATATCAGCTTCATAATTAAAGTGCTCTGAGTCGCACAAACTATTTGACACATCACATATTTTGAGTTTTAAAAAAAGTTAATAATTTTTTATTTGCTTAATATGTAAGCAATATATAGTTATGGTGTTATTGAGAAAAACAAATTGTATCCTTAACATGCAATTTTATAATAAATATAGGTATCTGATGTAAAGTTGGTAGGTTATTCCAACGCTCCGTCTGTCTGAACCATATTATTTCCATTGGCAATGTCATAAAACAATATGCCAAATTCATTGTTATAATGGATATAGTGACTTACCATAAAAAATTTTATTCACTCTGTCCTTTCCAAATTTGAATTCATTATTCATCAGAATATGAAGGGTGATGCCATTCTCCAGAAGAACTTGATGCAAGACTGTGTAGTCAACCTGTAAGTAAAAACAAATGGTCTTATGTTTTCAAGATAATTTTGTGTGTTTCCACAGAAATGACTATGGCCTGAAGTAAATAAAGGATTGAAAAAGGAGGAAAGTGCATATGTGAAAGAAATGGTCTAATACCTTGTGCATTCTACAATGAATTCTTCTCGGGCTACCAGCCGTGTCAGGTGGTTGAATGGAGAAAATACCAACGTTTTGAGAACCACCTTCGTTCTTGTCCTCAGTGTATTGAAGTTCAATACCCTGAGGATGAGGATGAAGACGGTTCTCAAAACGTTGGTGTTTTCTCCTTTCAACTACCTGACACAGCTGTCAGACTGAGAAGAATTCATTATACTTAGATGCCATAAAATCTTTAGATCATACATCTTGTACCCTCATTTGAAACCAATCTTTTTACTTACAAGCCTCAAACAGTAGTATAAATAAGCAAACAGGACCTCTCTCTCTTTCAACTGAATGCCCAGTACTCGTCCTGGATGTAAGAAACAGTGTACTCTTGGGTCTGAAGTGAGATGAATATTCAGTAAAGCACACCTTCCTGGTATACTATACCAGGAGGCAAGCCTTGTTCTGGAGTTTTAAGCTCTCCACTGAGTAATACAGTTGAAGCAGTAATGTTCCTGACTTGTATTCAGAAGATAGCATGTCTGAATACACTGACTATCCTGAGTTATTTTGTACTTTTCCTCAGTCCAAGGTGAACGCTAAGCAGTACATTAACTGCTTCCTCCCAAACCCTTACAAGTTTACCAAACCTGTTATCTCACGACATCTGCCACTAAATAAACCCTGCAGATGATATTTAAACTTTTCCTGTATTTTGAGACTTTGTAACTAGAGAAGCTCCCAGAGCCAATCACTTGTTTGAAACTTACAGTAGTATTAGCTGGATCACAGTTTGTGCATGGCAACAAAATAAAAGTCTTGGAGACTCCTGGTCTGAACAGTAGTTTGGCAGCGTAACGGATTGCTCCAAAAATATCTGCACTTCCATTACCTAAATAAAAAAAATATAGTCAGAAATCACAATCAAGTACAATGTATGTACGCAACTGCCAAAATGTTCATGATCCCTGACTTGAGATATGGCTAACTTTTGAACAAGTCATACTCTACCACCAGGTTCTCTGCCTCTTTACATGCAAGTGATGTAAAATTTACAAAAATGTGTTGAGGCCTGGGACGAGACGAACAAGAGACCCTTCCTATAATTTGATTATTTTATATTTTTTACAAGTTCTTTCAGGTTTGTAATATTGAGAAGGCCCTGTATTTGAAATACTCTTAGATACACTGAATTATGGAAATAATGTATATCACTAAGTAGGACTTGAGGTCTTCATGGTGGTGAGTATGAAGATGGCTGTCTTCTGGGCTGTAAACTTGTAACAGACTACATGGTGCTACAACCCAAAGACAGCCATCTATATGCATAAATTTCTTCCTTTCTATTTTTGCGTGAACTCACCTGCTGGAATGTTCTCGAAGTATTGAGGAAGGAAATGATGATCTGTGAAGACATTGCCATTGATAACAATGCTGCGAGGTTTGTCATGAACACCATCTCCTCCAAATACTACAACTGCAAACCTTCAAAGATGCATATAAATGAAAGACTTTAAGTAATTTTTTCTAAATATTGACATACACACAGTATATACACAATCATGGAACAATTGCTGGATAACAGATACACTGACATAAAAATCAAACTGAGACACACTCACATTCCCAGACTTATAAAGACTGGGTGCATATATCATAGGAGAATAGAAACAGATGTTACTTTTCAGCAGGTGCTGTAACACTTATCAATTTCTAAAGGTTATTCTCACTGTGATCACTTGCTGTCAAGTTAAGGCTAACTTCACTAGCTTCTACCCCTGCAGAGATGCAACAGGCTGCGGCCTGGTAAGCAGAAACATCTTGTTTATATAGAAAGTGGTCCACTATTTGCATTGTAATCCACTACGTTACTTAAGGTAATAAAAATGCAATGCAAAACTATTTCATAACTAGTTTGATAATTAAAACTGTATTTTTGGAAACATGTTTTGTGAGAAAAAGTGCAAAAATTATGTTAGTAAATGTAGTATTATTTCATAATATTACCTGTTAGATACTATTTTTTGATCTGTTAGTTCCTTTAACAATATAGAAGTCAGGGCATCCATATTTCTTCTGTCTTTTATATTTCTATTACAGTCTTTGGCCTCTATTATGAACACAATGTCAGTTGACTGTGGGATGTCATTATTCTCCATGTGACAAAAATCTCCTTCCAGCAATGCAGTTCCATTTACCAGCTGGCACCTAAAACAGCAAAATAAAACTAATCTATTTTTGTGCATTACTTCCACTATGATAGATTTACCTTACCTGAAATTCACAAACATAACCTCACACAGTTCCACTTCCGCCACTTTTTTCTGTTACTATATGTGGAATTTTTCTTACTGTATTATAAAAAAAAATTATATGTACAATTTGCATATGGAACATTCATAATCCCTGTAAAAACTTCAAGCAAGAACTTGTTATTGAAGTTCTGCTATCTTTAGTAACATTCCTACATAGTTTTATTTGGGTCCAGTATAATTTTTTGGCTTGCAATGAAAAAAAAATTCTTCTTCGGATTCTTACACCTTTTATCAACACGTTTCACAAGAAATGTTTTATAATAAATCACCAGCTGCCACACTTAATCTATAGCATGCAGAAATTAAATTCCTTGGGTGTATGTACATGTACAGATTGACATTTAAACAGACCAAAGTGCTGGATATAACACAATACAGTGTATTTATTGCAATTCTTATGCTGGAAATTCCAGGTAAAAACTCTCTTATTGAAAATGAATTCATTCATCTGTATAAAAAAGTCACAGTAAAAAGTCTTAAAATATACACTTAGTTTATGTTTATTTTCAGTTATGCAGATTATTTTTGAATGCTTTAAATGCCCTATTCTTTGAATTTAACTCCATACTGCAGAATTAAACTGACAGAAAATCATGGAGGTCACTGTACTTGGCTTAGAACTGCTGTGTTTATTGGTCTGTGGTGAGATTCAAGCCTCACAGGGAAATGAATACAATGTAACTGAGAAGTTTTGTTGGTGATTCTGATTACAAATTTTTTTTATCATCAACAAAAATGAGTGGTTACAAATCAGAAACGTAAAAATAGCATAAGACACAAAAACGTAAAAAGCAAAGCTGTCCTGCTGCATGCCACATAGGCGCATGAGGGGAGAGGAGGTATAGCTCCTACTCTCAGCACTAGATAGGGGTGAGTGGTCGGCATCATGCCCAAGCTGCACTTTACCCCTGGAAAAGGATCCCAGTACCCAGGAGGCAGGGTGGGCCCCAGAGCCAGTCTGGATGCAGAGGCTAGAAGAAAAATCCTCTGCCCCTGTCAGGGATCAAACCCAGTTGCCCAGCACAAAAAACATGTCCTGTTTTCCATTTTCATCATTTCAGTGTCTACATAAGCCCTGGGTCTGAGATGTGTTTCTCTGTCACTCATAGAAGATTATTTTGATGGTTGTAGAAATGTGCATACTTGACACACGTGTCAGGAATCCTAAGAGGAGTGTTCTCCATGAGACATGCTTGCAGGTAAGCCACAGCTGTTATGCATGGATCCTTGGTGCCTGACTCTCTGCTGTTGAGACACATCTTCAGGAAAGGCATTGGGTCAATCTGGCAAAACAGAAACATAGGACACAATGGTTTCACAAATACCCGTACCTTATTAAAAATTATGCGTATTCCTGGAAGTTTTCCTTTGTCTATTAGTTTATAAAACAACAAAATTTTCAAAAGCTGGCTCTGTTTCCATTGACAGGTGAAAATATACAACCTAATCAGATGAGTACATTTGATAATGCTAACTTCAGTCCCCAGAGTGGGGGTTTCCACAACAGTGAAAACTGGGTTATGCACTGTGTAATCTTGTAGGTGATTATCAAGGTTAGAGAGGAATTTACCATCTCTATCTTCAGGACAGAGGATAATCTAGGTAACACAATCCAATGTAAATTAATTTTTGTCTCTAAGTGTTTTCTAAAGATACTGTGAAGCAATGTAATATTTAACATCTAAGAATCCTGCGGAGTTTTCTGAGAAATTAAAAACTGGTCTTTTCGCAGTTGTAGACTGAAAATACCTGAGGAGAGTTCAGTTTGAAAATCTGTTTGTGCACCCCAGATTTCATTTGAACATTCAACTTATATATATTTCATAGTTATAAAGCTGGTTGATACTTACAACAGGAAAACAAGAACTGAACTGTGATGTCTTGGATTTGAAAAATGAATCACACAGATTAAAGAGTTCAGCGTCAAGTCGTGGATGCTGCAGAGCAAAGTTCTTTGAAGAAGTACATTTCTGTGGTTCCAAAGCCCAACTCTTCACAAATCTGCCCAAGTCAGTTTCTATTGTTTTCCTGGATGTAAGGAAATCTGTGCTTGGTTCATTATCCATGGTTCCAAAAACACCTGCAGTTCTGCCAAAGTACCAACCTGAAATAAACCCAAAAAATTTGAAAGGAAATTATCATTCCAAGTTTAGAAAGGATAATGAAAAATATTCACTCAGAATAACTGAAAACAAGATATTTCTTTAGTAATTGAGTCTTAGAAATTTGTGTTTATGCAGGAATTGAGGAGTAATTTAATTTGCTACAAATGAGGTGGTAAATTGCATGGTTCAACTGGCATTATCCAAAAAGTTAATTTTTGTTCACATATGTAACAAAATTTTCTTTTTTTCTTTTGTACAGTGTTGTGGCACACTGTATTCCCCCTCCAATTTTTCTGATTATAATTAATACATAAGCCATTCCTATCATTGTTATATTGACGAATTTGTATGCTGAATTTCATATCAGTGTCTTAAATTATTCCATCAGTGTAGATATTATGGCAATAGTCAGAGTAAATATTTGTTTCACTACACAATCTAACAGGACTTATATTCCTACTGAACTTGCCTCCAGGTAAATACAATTTAAACACATCTTACCAGACAAAGTGACTGTACAAACATCAAATTTAAAGTTGCACTGCATGGAAAACCCATGGGCACTTTCTATTGTCAGTATTTGTGCTTCCTGATAGATATATGTGTCTTCTATTGCAATGGGTAGTTGCTTGATACCCTCTTTCTGGACTTTCACAGACTGCACACAAAGAAAAGACTACATTACAGCTGGTTCAACAGTGTTCCTGATTCTACACTACAATGCACAAACATTTCATCATATTTCAATTATGAACATTGTGACATAAAGAAGTAATCTTAATATTATTTTGTGCTGCATGTTCACGTTCATATATATAATATTTTATTTTATTTTATTTCACAAACGTACACACTTTGATAGAAACAAAGAATTTTATAATAGCACTGCAGAATTTATCAATGTATTTTCTTTAAATATTTTTACCACAATATCTCATCAGAAGTAGTTCCAAACACATAAACATATTTTTCATTACAAAAAATATTATTATATAAATCCTGAGTTAAAACCTGGCCAACAGCCCCATAATACTGGGATATACATCTATTTCTACATCACAGGTTACTTAGAAAAACATAATATCTAGTACTGCAAGATGCCAGAATGTCAATAGACTATGAATATTTTGGCATACATGTGGAAGGTTCATAAAAAAGAATGTCATTAATATGGCATATATTTCTCCTGTCATGTTATATGCTTAATGTTGTATACTTACATCTTCAAACACATTTACTTGCACTACCTCTTTACCAATAATAAGTGCAAGTTCATGAGTGTTAACCTTGTTGTTTGGATTGAATGTTATTACAACAGAGAAGTTCCTGTCTACAAAATCTTGAGTTAACAAGTAGGAACATGATCCTTGGAACTCAAAAAATCTTCTGTCAAATGTCATGAAATGCTGAGTTCCTGCTATCATAGCTTGAGCTAAAACAGACGAAAAGAAACAAAGTGAAAGTATTGAAGGAAGGTAATACTACGTAAGAAGACAAAGACAGTTTTTAAAGTTAACCTTTAAAGAACCAGGCTTTTAAACCCCAGTATCACCTGCTGGTCCAATTTAAATCCCACAGCTATGTTACGTTGTGCGTATTTTCATTAATACTGACAAATTTGAAAACCGCATCTCTAATATAAATTAATTCTTAAAGTTGCAGTTAGATATACATCTTTTATAGTAACTGCCTGCATGTGTTAAAACAGTTTTACTTCTAGTGAAAAATTGCCATGGAAACTAAGAATATCTGAACATACAGTTCTCATTAGCACTCATTACAAATTGGAATATTTCCACATTTGTTGATGGGTGGATAAATATGACAACAAAAGTAATTACAAATCTTAAACTATTTACTACAGTCAAAATTGGTAGAGAAATGTAACTCCTAATCAAGAAGAGTAAATCTTTCTCTCATTGGTGAGATTTGCATTAGTTTCCAGACTTAAGATGCACTCGTTCACTTACCCATGTGACACATATCTTACCTTTAAATGGTGGCAGCCAACATGATGGATCTAAGAGTGGCCTGTACTTATAAAAAATTGTCCAGAATGTGAAATTTGATGTAATGAAGTAAGCCTGCAGCTCATTCAGTGCTCTGTATTCTGGAATTTCCTAAAAAATATTTGTAGAATGTTACAATTGAGGGATTCAGAAAGACAGGATTGAACCCAACATGATCGTAAAATCCATTTCCTACATTATCAGAAATTGAATCCATGCTCTATTCTCATGTTGACAGTTTGACTCTGTTGCCCTGTAAAATTCCATAATTTATATGTGGTGAACAGAACATGTGTGCTGACTCTGAGGCTTGATTACTCAAAACTTTACTTTCACAAGTTTGCACCTTCACTGTGAACAACTTGACTGTTTATATATATTTTCTCTAACGATATGAATTCCAAGATTTCAGGAGAATTGCATATGTATGTACAGCAGAATAAAAGTATGAAAGTTAATGTACAAAAGAGATACACATAAAACATATATTTTTATAATAATTGCAATATTAATATATTTTTTAAAAATAAAGATCTTCTGCCAATACCTCTGTAACAAATATTATTAAATGTGGTGGAATTCAACATTAACATTTCTGGTTCAGGGACATTCACTGATAAGTAGGATTTGAGGTTTCCACGATAGTGAGTCCGAAGATGGCTGTCTTCTGGGTTGTAGGTATTTATCAAAGGATGAATTACATAATAATATTCTAACAGCTGGTTTGAGTGTGTTAATACAATAAATTACACTTGCCTACTTGCTACATGCAACATGATCAGAGGTCTCAAATATCCATCACTTACAGCAAATTCAGAGGCAGAATTACTTACTTCAAATTTAGGCGTTTCATTAAATGCGTGCCATGACATGGGAAGCTTCTGTTCCCATTCCACATTTCCACTCTCTGGGTCAAAGATAAATTTTGTTTTAGCTTCTCGATACCTAAACAGAAAATAAAATATCAGAGCCAAATATATGACAGGAAAGCAAAATTTACAAACTAATATCAAAAGTCCTTGAAAATAATTTATTAGTTGAAAATTTATAAACAAAAATTAATTTGAGTTTAAAGGTAATTGGAAATAGTTCTAAGTTAACAACATAACCTCATAACTATTTTTTCAGCAATTTCTGCATCCTTGACAAAGTGAGAATATCTTTCATCTTAACATTTTAGAACAAGAAATAATAAAAATACTTTCTTACCCTAATAGTAACATGTGCATAAAATCATTCAAGAGTTTGTATCACATACACAAACCTGACAACGTTTCTCAGATCAAATCTGATAGAAAATGTGTGTTTACTAATCAAAGTTTCATTTAAAGTTGATCCTTCAGTCAGAAGTAAGCATCAGCCATTTCAGTTGAACGTACTGTAGATGTACTAGATGCTCATTTGGAGTTGTAACATGTAATTATGGCACAGATTTTTATATTTTTTACAAAAAATATGGAAGTGAGATGATGTTTTGGATACAAAATATCAACAGTGATGGAAACTGTCACAACCTCTATTAACACCTACTTGTTCTCAACTTGAAGGGCAGTCTGTGTTACATCAGTCAACTTCTTGTGTATTATTCTTATCACCATCTGTACTCTTGTTCCAAGATCTAGTGATTCATACATCCAGACCACCTTAAAACGTAATATAAAATTCTTAAGCATAATTTTATCCAACAAATTTGAATTAATATAAACTCTAATGGTCGAAACGTTGTTTTGTGATGCACAAACTTATTTGCTCTGTGGGGAATAAGGACAAAATGCCGCAGCAGTGGAAGAACTATATTATTGTATCAATTCATAAGGAGAGTGATAAGACTGACTAATGATTATCGAGGAATCTCCCTCTTATCATCTGCCCACAAAATTTTATCCAACATTCTTCTGGTGAGGCTGACTCCATATGTAAATGAAATTACTGGGGATCATGAATGTGGGTTTCGTTATATCAGATCTACAACTGATCAAATTGTCTGCATTTGCCAGAAACTAGTGAAAAAGTGGGAGTACATTGGGACAGTCCATCAACTCTTTATAGACTTCAAGGAAACCTATGACTCAGTTAAAAGAGAAGCTCTTTACAATATTTTTCTTGAATTTGGCATACCTAAGAAGCTAGTTGGGCTAATTACAACTTGATAAAGTGAAACCCCTAACAAAATTCATGTAGGTAAACATTTGTCCAATGAATTTTCTATTCAGAATGGTCTGATACAGGAGATGCTCTAGTACAGCATCCTTTCAATTCTGCCTTAGAATATGCCATCAGGAAAGCCTAAGAAAATCAAGACGGTTTGGAATTGAATGGGACACTTCAGCTTTTGGTCTACACTGATGATATTAATCTGTTGGGCGACAATGTAAAACCTACAACAGCAAACACAGAAACACTCTTAAGGCTAGAAGGGACGTTGGTCTAGAAATAAATGCAGGAAAGAAAAGGTACATGATCATGTCTTGTCATCAGAATTCAGGACACAACCAGAATATAAGGATAGCTAATGAATCGTTCCAAAATATGGCAAAATTCAATTACTTGGGGATGACACTAACAAGTCCAAACACACTGGATCTGACATGAGACTGTATGGCACACATTATCCAGTTAGACAGAATGAAGTCACATACCTTAACATACAACTCATTGGCTTTCTTGATTGCATAATTTATAGATGGAAGTTTGCTTAATTCCTTAAATTCTTCTATCAACTCATTGGCAATTTGGTGCAATTCCTTTCCTAGAAACAAAAAAGTGCTATTGTTCTCAATATTTTAGTAAAATAAACACCTGGAAAAACTACAGAATATATACATATCCAAAGATTATACAGTCAGAGCAAGATTAGTAACAAATAAAAGAGGTTATCAGGAAGCATAATATACATTAGGAATTTACTTTGTGTTCCAAGTAGAAAAATAACTATTTTCTTTTATAAATTTCAACATAGAATAAACACAGATACATGACACAAATGATATGTTAGAGAACAACTAACAGAATACTAGAACATGAAATGATCAAGGCTGTAAATGGAAACAATATGAACAAAGTGATGTGGTTTCAATGGATGTGTACTGATCACCAATGAAGATGATGGGGGGGGGGGACCAATCAGACAACCTGATGTTGATGGCATCAAATAATACGTGCTGTAGAAAGAGGAATGAAGTGGAAGGATGTTCTTGTAGATATCAGCAAGAAGTAAATAGAATTAAAGAACACAAATGGAGTGATGACCATTCACCAAACAGTAAACGTAAAGTGACAGAAATCTGTTCATTTACATTTATTATATAGCAACACAGTAACACTTGTCCTGTACATTACTGTGGGGCCATGGTTTCCCAAGAACACAATTTTATTAGACTGGGATAAAATATTTATCTTATAGACAAAAATGTCTCTCATCCTTTTCCAGACCTAGGGCCACATTCATGTTTGATTATCAAGATACAGCAATGAGATTATGAGGACATTTTATTAAAACTTCATGGACATTTTTTAAAATGATACTCACTTCTTTTTACAAAGAGGTTAATATATTACTCAATAATGTTCTTTAACATTTTAGATATTAGTGAGATATTTTAAACTGCTTTTTCTTGGGTAATCTCTTAATAGCAGGTTTAATTTATAATCTTTCAATTTGCAGGTATCCCTCCGGACATTATCATTAATCAGTGAAAACATGTCTTAATTTGACATTCTTCAATACGCTGCACAGTTGCTCACAGTAAACTAACAAAATTAACAAAGCATGTGTTTTGGTACCAGGCAACTACTTTTTATCAGACAGGATAACACAGTACCACAAATAATGTATGGGATTGGGCCCCACATCCAGTACACCAAAATCTGGAATGACCAAAAATCCATATTTTTCCCAGTGGTTTTTATGATGGCATTTTCCTGTGCATGTCACATTTGGAATGGATTAGACAGTAATTGTAATACAGTGTTAAATTAAGAGGAAACAATTTCAATTGACAAAAGCATCTAAAAACAGAATAATTTTTGTTTATCTGTTTGTATGAATTAAAATTTCTCTGTATAAACATAAAGATCCAAAATACAGAAAATCCAAAAAGCCTTTGTTTCCAGGTTTCCTGGGTACGAGGTCCAGTACTGTATGTGGACCACATAAAATAAATGGTAAGTTTTGGGTTGACGACCCCTAGTATCAATGGATAATTTAAAACTATGCTTTTTAGAAACACAATTTCATTTCTTGAACCTACTATTGTGAATTCTTACCAAATGGCACCATGGTGAAATATTTCTCTGTTATGAAGTCGTACATTTTTTTTGAATATTTCCTGACATTAGTTATAATGTCATTTTTAATTATATCCTTGTACAATTTATCTACATCCTGACCAAAATCATAGATCTTGGAAAAATATGGTGATTCCAAAACATCATTTCTTCTTTCATAGAGGAAATCTGAAACCAAAGCAAAGAAAACAATTACTGTAATACTTTATAAAGTCATTAAAGTATATAATCTCATATTTATGTATTTATTATATGTTTTTAGTTTATAAAAAAATAAAATTAAAGTTAAAAGCACATATAGAAAATCTCTATCAGGGGAATCACTACACTGGATTCACTGATTTGTTAACCACCTACATGATAAGAGGGAATACTAAATGTTTTAAATTTAAGTCATACACATGAGTATTACCTAAGATTTCTCTGCTTGCTTTCCAGAGTACACTTTCTAAGTAATGAAGAAACTTAATAAATGTAGGTTCAATTGTTTGTAAGAAACTGTGCCAATGATTCCATAAGAAAGTAGATACTTTATTCCACAGATTTTCCATTTTCTTTATGAATGAAACATGGAGATCCTTGATGAACTGTAAAAAGAAATACAAATTATTAACACATAATAAGGTCACAAAATTAACAATATAAAAGTTTTAATGTTTTATATTAATTTATTGTACTTACTCTGTCATACTTCTCAACTAACTTCTCAAGCAGTGCAGTTATTTGTGCTGTTGAATCACCATTCAGAAGTCCATTTATAAAATCTACTACTTTCTTGTATGAAGATTTGATCTGTAGGAGGTGAAGAATTGTATATCAATATGATGTCCATGGAGAGAACATACATTTTACTAAAGGGTATGCTTCCTTTACTTTATTTAAATTTTCAACTGTGAATATAGTACAGCAACAACGTGTAGGGTTTGTCCGGTGTGGGGTTTGCTAGATCCTCCATCGGGCGCCTCCCCAGGTGGCGGATCAGGGAAAGCCTCCCAGATATGGGTGGTACCGAGGAAATCAAATACTCGGAGCGGACCAAAATCTAGCACTAGTGGAGGGCAGCAGTTTCACCGGAATCAAACTGCGGCGTGGGAAGAATGATTCCGAAGCAGCGTAGTATTGAATACTGGAAAGCGCAGCTGTAACAGCCCAAACGGTTTCCGCACTGCGGTACAGAAAGAAAACGGAATTTCTACTGTACTATTTTTTCCAAATTATCTTAATGGCTGACGAAATTACGCTGGCCATTTGCATCGCTAACCTTCGCAAAAAGACAGCATAATAAGAAGAACAATAAATGTTAATTTGTGTTTCAATTTCATTCAGCCACCAGGTTTCTTGTAATTTACAAGGAATTCTTAAATTTAAATGGCGTGAACTTGTATCTTATAAAATATTTCATGATTCCAGTCACTCAATCACTCACTCTAAAGTTCAGAATATATTTTGAAAAGTCAATTGTATACTCAGCTTATCAAAGAATAGCTCACTTTCTTCATGGAACCCGGAGGTTTATCACCATGTTCACAAAAGCCTGCCATCGAACTCTATCCTGAGTCAGCTGCATCCAATTTGCTCCATCAATTCCTACCTCCCTAAGGTCCATCTTAGGATTCCTATCTGTTCAGTAAAAGTATAAAGAAAAAGTGAAGCTGCCCTGCTTCATGCCACATAGGTGCATGGAGAGAGGAGTCATAGCTCCTACTCATTCTTAACCTCGGCACTAGATAAGAGTGGTCGTCACGCCCCAGCCACACTTTACCCCAGGAAAGGATCCCAGTACACACTGGAAACGAGGCTAGGTGGCCCCAGAGCCGGTCTGGACGCAGAGGCTAGAGAAAGAATCCCCTTCCTCTGTCAGGGATCGTACCCCGGTCATCCAGTCCATAGTCAGTCACTATAATTACTGAGCTGCCCAGTTCCTTTCCTATCTGATAAAGAATTCTATTGGAATAAATATTTGTAACAGAGAGAAAAAACTTACAGTTTCAATAATCCAAACCAGTGATTTTCTAACTGCCTCCCCTGACTCTCCCATTACTGCCCATATTTCATTTATAATTTCAGGCAGTGATTCAATATGGCCCCTGGAAATGTAATCATGAATGAAGATATGCTGGTTCACATATACACACATTATTATAAATCAAAATATATAAAACCATAACTCTGTTCACAGAAGACTAACACATACCTAAGCGATAACTCATCGATGACATAGATTGTAACACCAACAATATCTCGGATGTAAAACTCATTTGCGTTGTAGGACTTGTTTAAATAAACCTTGAATTCCTCAAAATCTTCAGACAAATGTTTTAGTTCACTGAAAAGACAATATAATTATTAGAATTTAAATCACAGTGAGATGTGTAGATGATACAAGAAGATTTTGTAAAACCTTTTGAGTTATATTGTAACTGTAAGAAGGAATTAATAATACTTGCATTTAGCGATAGCTTTGTAGCATCGAAGTATGTAGAAACTTAACAGATTTTCACTAAAATGTCTACAGATTTTTCAGCCATATAATTTATTTTCCATTACAGCTGTCTGTAACTACTGTCAAAAATCCTTACAAAGTGATTAAAACAGAGAATTCTCTTCTAGTGGTTTTGAAAGTAAATACTTTATAAATTTATGACTAAAATCAATTAAAGTACACAAAATTAAGTTTTTCCTATATATGCCATCAGTATACCTGCTTAAAATTTATAAGTTAATTTACTTTACAAAACTGACATATTGATCACATTCCAAGATATTCATTTCTGTCAACTTTATTTATCTAGAGCCTTGCAGTTTGCTGCATAACAACATTATAGGATATATTTAAAAACTCGATGTGAAACTTAACTATGTGGTTGTTTCTCTCAATGCTATAACTAAACTCAGGCAGAGCAAAATTTGTAATGGCATTATATGACACAAAAGAATTATAAAAACAGACTTGAAACCAGTTATTAGATACCTGACATCATCAAGAAATTTCTGTACAATTGGTTTTGCATCTAGCCAAACGTCATTCACAGCATCTGAGGTTTCAGACTTAATGTACTGCCTCCAGTAGTCAACAGAATTAATAAAAGCATTCCATACTGAATCAAAAGCATCATAAATTCCAGTCTGAAATAAAAGTAATTAACAATATAGTGAGGAACAAAACAACGAATAGTAGTAATTGCTAAAAGACTTTTAAATAGGATAAATATAACACAGAAACGTAATGTAATGTGTGTGTAAAAATACAAATAAAAAATAAGATTACAAGATTAACACACAAACACGCTTACCATTATTTCAGCCCTAATTTCGGGGCGCCATTTAAATTTTGAAGTAACAAGACGTGAATGATTCAAGCGTAGATAAACAGATACATCCGAAATACGGATGTCTTCATAATCTCTCCAGATATTAAGGATAACGTTTCGAGCATCTGGGATTTTTCCATACATATTGAAACTCTCTGAAGCATCTGAAACATTAAAAAGAAACATATTTAATTAATCACTAGGTATTATAAGAATTTCTTGTAATTCATAAGAAAAAGTTATAAGAAAATTTGTGTAATGTTGAATTTTATTATTTTGAGGTTCAAGTTGTAATTTTTGTAGGCTCTTCTCTGTGCAATAAGCTATTTGTGTATTTTTATTCTTAAACAGTTTTATTATGCATCAGATTTCTTTTCTGATATGTGATGTGGATGAGGGGAAAGAAAAGAAGGGGATGAATGGCAGGAAGAAATTGAAAAGAAGAGGAATGGGAGAGAAGGATGAGAGCTTGAAGCAAGTGGGTACACAGCCCCTAGTATATCAGTAAAATTATTTTGAAAACTATGTGAAGATTTGGGGATAGTGGATAGGAGAAATTAAAGTAAAAGGAAAACAAAACAATCGAGAAAATGGAGATGTGACAGCCATAAAAACTGAAACCAAATGCTGTATCATGTACCTGGTGTGTAGTTGATATTTCCTTGTACCAGTTTATCATCCAAGTTAATAAAGAATTTAGCTGTGGCATTGAGATTCCTTCCTTTTATAAATGTACCATTTACGACATACAAAGAACTTTTGCCAGTGTACTTTCCTTTCAGATAAGTCAAATCTCTCTGTGCCTTCTTCTGCAATAAACAGAAAGCAATAAATTAAAGCTTAATTAAAGTAAATGAATGTAATATATGGATTTCAGCACATAAACACTGTCTATAATAATACATGTGTACCAGTGGATGTGTAATCTTAGTGACAAAACTATTTGGTATGGACATCTGAAATCATGCATGGAAACTATGTATGCAAGTCCTTGATATACATAGCATGTGCTATCACCCCATACACACAATGTTTACCAAATTTCCTCCTCACCACAATTATACTTTATTTTTCAAACGCATCCGAATGATGTACAATATTTAGAAGTGGTATGTAAGTATGAACATTTTGATAGAGAGAGTACTGGTACGACATTCAGAAGCAAAAAGAAATGCTTGCGTGGAATACCATTCAATTTTAAGCAGTCATTAATTGTCACTGGTTACATATGTTTCAGGTGGGTGTGTAGTGCACTACTGTACCACAGAACCATTAAATCTTTACTTAAGGCTAGCCAGCAACCCTGTATTATGGGGGAGTTTAAGTCACCTGTCGCCTACAATAAAGTTAATCAAGAACAAACTTATGAATATCTTGTATTTAACCAAACTGGGTACTGATTAGGTTTAAAGGTTATATCACCCTCACAACCTCATAGCTCATTAATATTCAATTTCCATGCTATCTAATAGCTAAGATAATGACTAAAGTGCTGGAAAAACTTTTTAACCAGCTGTCTTGGAGATAATGAGTTTTTCTTTCATGGGTAATGATCAACGTAATATTAATGACATCACTATCAGTAGAAGCAATATCTGATATTTTTACCTCAAATTCTATTTCTTTTATAATACTATTCACTCTTCCTTTTAGGTTTCCAGTCTGTAATGGTAGGAATGATCTCTTGTAGCTTGCTTCGTTGTTTGTTTCATAAATTTTTCCGTCTAACTTCACTTGACCTTGCACTTTCAAATCCAGCCTGTAAGGAAAACAGGAAAATAGTATTAAACATTTAAGGCAAATTTGCAGCAAGGATTTACTAACTTTTTTCCATCAGTTATTGCAAGTCAGTAACTCTCAGTTCACAAAATTTGTAATAAATTAAATTAATGGAACTGCAAGAGTGTCTGGTTACTGACCCATGTCAGGAGACTGGACAGTATTAAGACACAGAGGAGAACATTTATATCAAGACAGTCATGACTGTAATTTGTGAAGCCACAACAGGATGCACAAGAATATGATTATTGCCATCAGTTCTTCAGAGATCTTTACTGTCACAATCCTCAAAGGACCATCACCACAAAACAGAATTTACATTGAAAATTAAATCCTGAAATATCCTATATCGTACAAAATGTACATTACCTAGTAGCAGGATGCGATCCCAGTATTTCAAAGTTATAATGTTTTGTATTTCCTCTTGAATTGTCTCGCAATTTCCCAAACAAGGACAGCTTCTTGTTGCTGTCTGTTGAGTATTCCAATTCAGTCAATACATCTACCAAATCCTTGTTATCAGCTGAGTAATGGCCATTAAGTGTCACATCCTGAGAAGCAATCGCAGTTAACCTTTGTATAGTGTGTAATAGAGATTCCACAATTCAGCGGTTAAATCTTGGCTAGCGTCAGCTGTCCTAAATATGTTTGTTTGGTAACTGTTTACACACATTCTAAAGAATGCGTGAGGGTAATATGTGTATTATGGTGTGGGATACACTTTGTGAACTTGTTAAATTGTCCTATTGAAAATATTTTGAAAAATTAAATATTTCTAAATCTTCCAATTTTTTTAAATACCCAAAATTTTAACATCTTCAAAGTATTTCAAAATCCAAAATCAAAAATGTTATAATTCTCTACATTCGAAATTCCAACATTTCAGATTCATATTTAAACATTTATCCTAACTTAAATTTCATTAACCTAACCTAACAGCAAATGATTTGCCATAACAAACTTCAGTCAAAACAATTAGTTCCACAACAAAAATCCGAACTCAGCACTAAAAAACATGAACCAGGACTGTTATCCACTAAACTGTAGAAATTGCTAACATCCAGAATCCTTAGGTGCATGCCTTTCTTACCCTTATAAAAGAGGGATGTTTGATGCTAACAACAGCATGTTGCTTGTTGGGAGAGAAACTCAATCTCTTCCAATCAAAGGATGCACCAACTGTTTTCTTCCTTGCTTGTTTATCCCACACAAATGTAATTTCTGAAGACAATGAGGTATTTGACATTTGGTAGTAACCCAAAGCAGTGAAATTTCTCTTTGGATATGCAAAGTTTAATTCCACATGTTCTTCTTCCTTCTCATTCTGAAAGAAATCCAAGTTTGAACATGAAATATGTTGATTAGGTAAGTCAGTAATCTTTAAACTGGATTAATATTGCAGTTTAATTATAATAGACTTATTGCTGTTGCCAAGTAATTGTATTTGTTCAATAATCTTAAAACCTGGCATACTGTGCAGTGTATTGACAAATATAATCATGCATACAAACAAAACTGTTTACACTTTGAAAAAAAAACACTTAGTGCCAAAAGCGTTTCGACCTCATGAGGTCATCATCAGTGGCAAAAACATTAATTCATTAGTCTGTCTATTAAATTACACAATTCATAAGATGATGGTTATATGAAACCATCATCTGGTTGGCAGATCCATAGTATAGGGGTTTAAATGTATTTTGTCGTTTCATAATGGTTAGAAACCATTATTCATGTACAGGAAAGCATATAAAAATTAATCAATAAGTTATACAGAAATATAACAAGTAACACTGAATGTAACTTACTGTGGCTTTGTTGACTATAGTGACATCATAACTTGCCCAAGAGTGTGGATCAAGGTGCAGAACAGACTTATGTTTGAATTCATGGTCCAAGAAATTATAGTCTGTCTTGAGTCTAACAGTTCTGTTTGTATGAATTGCTGAAATTGTGAAACACATTTTATCCGCACTGCTTGTCATAACATGTAATCACTTTCACAGTCTAATGTTGGCAGATATAAAACTGCAAGGAATTTTTCTCAGGCTACCAACCATGTAAGATGGTTGAAATGTTTCAAGAATAAAGACATATCTCGAAATGTTAGTGTTTTCACCTTTCAACCACCTGACATGGCCATGTGAAAGCTTCAGATCATACAGATATAAAACTGCTAACAAAAATGTACTGATTTAATTCTGGAAGAAAGAATCTAAATGAGTAGCAGGGCATTGATTTCTGAATCAGAAACTTGTAAATTTAATTTAAATACAAGAACAAGGCAAATTCCTGAACAATACATTCAAATAGATCACAACTGCTTCCTTGCAAACATTTTCCTAATTGCTGTTTATCTTTACCTTAATCTCATGCAATGCTATGTTATGTCTGCAGCTCGAAGAATGTAATTAAATAACCCACGAAAAATTCAGGGCATGATGGATGAAGGACAGAAATTGCAGAGGTATTTATAAATTATAAGTGAAAAAGATTATCAATACCTGTCAGTGTAATTTCTTGTCCAGTATCAGTTGAATGAACAAACACTTCACCAGTCAAGTGTAATCCACTTTTATTATGCAGCTTGAAAATCTCAGCTCTCTTTAAGTCCTGAAAAATATATTTGTGCTAGTACAGATGCATTTTTCAAGGAAAAATATTTGCAATGCATATGTTTTATTCATAACAATTTAAAAGATACAGGTTTAAATTTTTTAACAATTCACATTATTGAACTCAATGTTTTACAGAATTATGTCCGTCAACTTATGTCAACTATGCTTCCATCCATTCCTAGGGTTTCCAATAAAATTTTGCGTGCATTTCTTATCTTCAAATGCACATTACATGTCCTGTATGTCTCATCTTCCTAGGCTTGATCACCTTTATCATATTCTATGAAAAATATTTAAAATATTAAGAGTGGGTATACAAAAGAACAGTCTTACTGTTATCAGGACATCAAACTGTGACTTACGGTTGTTGGTAAATTCTCGCCTTCAAATCCTGCACTGTATTCAAACTGATGTATATACAGAATGCCCAATGGAGAATACGCATTATCAATTTCCACGTTTATCACATCTTTATCAAATCCTGCAGACGACTGTGAGGTACAGTTGTACCGGCCTTCTAAAAACTTCCTGGTGTTGTACTCAATGAAAGAATAACCCGTGGTAAGAACTGGTCCTTTCTGTTAAACGAAACAAGTTATGATAAGACCGGAAATTGCAGGATAACAACAAAATAAAATTCTAATGCACAAAAGCAATTAAATTAAATCTGTTGATGATTCTGTCATTAAAAGACTTAAGAAAAGATGAGCATTTTCCTTTGAGATGTAGGCTGAGGCAGACTAGCCACCTTGGAAGGACAGAAGACAGTTCAACCTTTATTGCATGAACACAAGGGATTTAAGTCACTATAATATGGGGTTTGAGGCCAGACTTTAACTGCAGGGTTTATTTGTTTAGCAGTATGCTACTGTGATACACGACCAGCTGCATCACATGTGTAAGATGGATGATAAAGATTAATATAAAAAAGTATAACTACAGTTTCTAGTAAAATTTTAAACACCTATCTTCAAATTCAAGTCAAACAGTGGGGCTGAGCTGCTGAATTGAATAATGGACTCCGGTGCTAACATCAAAAATGATCACAACTCTGTGAAAGGGCTGTTACTTAAATTACACGAAGGGCTCAACTGTGCATCAACAATCAGCGTGGCCATTTTGAGTCAGGTAAATAACGTAACTGAAAATGAAATTTAGAGTGCAGTCTAAACTTAACAACAACAACAACACAACCTAAAATTAAATGCTCAATCTCATTTTCTTGAAAAACCATCGCAGATCAGACCCATGTTTATTTGAACTTTTCGACTCAAAATTATCCCAAGAGCACGTAGTTAAGATATGCACATTCTGTATATTCTGAATCAAACTAAAATCAGCAATTAGATGCAAATGCACAAGTATATTCTGTTAAGGTATTCTAATACCTCATGACAACGCTTATCTACACAGAGTTCCCACAGTGATTGAGATGCTCAGTCAGTTCAAATTGAAGAAGCTTGTTTGTCTACCAAACAGTCTGTGACTTGCGCCATCCAGTTATCTCCTGCTGAGACAACTGAAAGTGGATTTATGAGGTTAAACATTCTTTACAGGGACAATTAAAAGTGCTCTTCATAAACAGTGCCAAGAACCTTGTGATGCACTTAAAAGCAGGGAGACTGAAAAATAACAAAAGTTAAATATTACTTTTTTATAAAATATGTTTCATTATTTACTTTTTAATTTACCCATGTATAAATTTCCAATAGAATGTATTATGTATTACCATTATGCAGTTGACGTATGCATCATATTTTGACAATCCTTTCTTTTTTAAGTCATCATGACTTTTTATTTTAACTAAAACTGACCTGTAATATGCAGCATGCTCTACACTACGAGAGTTAAAACTGCAAAATGAAAATGTATATAGTCTTGCCTTGAATCCATACACCAGGTTTCCCGTATGTCTTGTTTTTAGTGGCACTTCAACAATAATGGAACCATTTATTTGAGTGTTGTAATTTTCATTTTCATACGCGTATTTGGAATCAAAGAGTGCAGTGTTGTTAGGCCAGAAGGCTTCTACAAACCGCTGATGATGTAACCTGAAATACAGAATGTCATAACTGCTCAGTCAAAACCTGTATTAAACTTCAGACAAAATTGAGCATTTTCAGTAATTCGTATTTAATTCTTTATATGTTTAATAACAGTGCAGCATATGAAAAACAGAACTATATGCTGAAACTGAAATTACATAGGTTCATAAGGTCATACCTACCATAACAATGATAATTATTTTGTGTCTCTTCCATGGTTGGTAAGTCCCTGCAAAACTTCAAATTTAATCTTGGAGATGAAATAAGAGCCTGCTTAAATGACTTCATTTTATG